CATGAGTCATTTCTTAAAAAATATGTTTTTATTTTTTTCTTAAAAACTAATAAATATTTACTAAATATACTAATTAAATTTTAAAATACACATTATACTTTAATTATTAAAAAAAAAATGATTCAAAAATTGTTATATTTAAATGCATTTTTAAGAGTTTGAATTTTTGTGATTCATGGGGGGGGGGGAATATCTCAGTCCCCTCTATATTATATAAATCTGTAAGATTAATTTCTTTTCGTTATCTTAAAAAATATTAATTTTTTCATTTATATCACTTTTTTATCAACAGTATCTTCATATCAATAATTAGTATCTTTATTCAATAATTCACACATTATAGAATAAAATTTTGTGACGTTTAAATTTTACACGGCATTGTGATTTCTTAGAATCTTCTTGGAAAAAAACTTCGTTCTTGGACAAACAGAGAAAAATGCGCGAATAATGATTTCTTTTGAAGACGTGCCAATGTGTTCGTTAATATCGAGAAATCCCTAGCTCTTTCTTTTTTCGCATCTTCTTTTACGCATTTTTACATCTGGTAGTTTATTCGCCGTTCTGCCCTTATCGCGCGCAAAGATTTCTGTAATGACCTGTAAAAGTTGCGACGGGCATCATTTATTATCGCGACTTTACTTTTCTTTCATTCTCTTATCCTTCCATTAATCAAAAAGCTATCATTGTCTTCTGATGCTATTTATGTTATCACGCGTAAGCCAAGATAACATTGTTCATTATTGTAGGCTATAAACCGTTCAATATCAGCGAGTGGACTCGCTTACGTAGAAATAAAGTTGCTTTACTTAAGAAATAATTCCTCGTCGGCAGGTCGGTACTATCCGGAAGCTTTATTTCTGGCAAACGTTCAAATAGTTAGGAACTTAAATTCCGCTAGCGACGGCGGCTTTTCCGAGGGCGTAAACTGCTTGTGCCAGCGCCCAGTCTCTCGTTTCACTACCGATCTACATTGAACTCTGGCGTTGTGAATTTTACGAGCCTGGAGCCACATTCTAATCGGATTTTCATAATGGCCTATCGATTGATGTCGGCTCGGTAGAAAAAGTGCGAAATTAATATAAGAAAGAGAGAGAAAGCGTTTCTTCGTCGTTTCGAAAAGTTAATATATAAAATCGCTGTAAAATAAAACAGTAAAAATTTCCAAAAGAACTTTGCCCATTTTATGTAGATTGATATCATCCTCGTAGATAAATCGTACATCAAAGCATACAAAGTAGATTAAATCTGCAAGTACCAAAGCTAAAACAGATCAATGTTAGAACCTTATCATTGTGAGATATACTACTCTCTAAAAGTGAATCAGTGTATTATTACTGATTTCAGTGCTATACTTATAATCATTGCTAATTGTAATCATCAGTGAATAAAATATTTACTGTTTTTCAGTAATAATACACACACACACACACACACACACACACACTACACACACACACACACACACACACACACACACAGATTCATTTTTGGAAGTTATGATTTCTATACAGAGTGAATCTACAGAAAATCATAACTTCTAAAAGTGTATCAGTGTATTACTGAAATACAATAAATATTCATTGACGATTATATCAGTTATAAGTGTAACACTGATGTCAATAATAATACACTGATTTACTTTTAGAAATTTTGTTATATTTCTGCTTATAGAACTCTGG